TGCTGTTGGAGTTTTAGTGGCTCCGCATGTTCTTTTAGGTGGTCAGAGCTTTTTTTATATTTTTGTATATTACATGTAATAATTTTGTCTAAGATCTGATTTGAACACTTTAACTCCTATGCTATGAGTACCCATCAATTCACGCTTCAATAATTGATAAGTTAGCTTACAACAATGTACATACTTTGAATGATAAAAAATATAAAAAGAGAGAGAGAGAGAGAGAACAAAAAAAAAAAAAAGGTACTCCATCTAATGGTATCGATATCGTGCTCTAACTTATTTTTGAATAGCAATCAACTATATAATTAGAACTAAGAACATACGTCCACAAAAATTTATGTGAATCTATTCACCCAGCTATTTCCTATAAGCCGGTTTAATTTTGCTCAACTCAAAATGTAAAAAAAAATATTGCAGAGAACAATTGTAACATATTATGTTTTTTTTTATCCTATTTTTTTTACAACAATGTATAAAATTGTGTGTATATATAATGGGTTGATGGAGCTAGTAGAGCTAAATTAATTCTTGAACACCTTAATAAAAATTATTGGAGCCGCCACTACATTGTAGTATCACGTGACGGTGTCCCAAATCACATGGTAGTCCTCCCAGAGTAACCAGTAATTTTTTTCCTTTTTTTGGTTAATATAATTTCTCCTTTTCTACCACAAAGACTACGGGGGCGTTTGGACAAATAAGCCAAAGTGGCTTATTTTTTGTCCTTATTCAATTTTTTTTTTTGCATTTCGTGGCTTATTGTCAATTTTTTGGGGATTATTGCTTCATTATGACGAGAGGAATCTAAAAAGTAAAAAATTTTGATCGAAATCCAATTTTTTTGGAATTTCGACGAAATTGGCGGGAAAGCCACGTTTTTCGTCTTTATTCAAAAATATTTGGATTCCGACCAAAAAATTTTACTTTTTAGGTTCCTCTTGTCATGAGGATGCAATAATCTCCAAAAAAAAATGATGATAAACTAAGTGATACGGAAAAAATTTGAATAAAGACAAAAAAAATTTGGCGGGAAAGCCTAATGGCTTATTTGGCCAACCAAATGTGTGAGAGAGAAAATCTCTGGAGTACCGCGTGACGATGTTCACGTCTAAATTGGAGTTGAGTTTTGTTCACTTTCCACTTAACAGGGTGGAAATTACTCTCTTTCTTATTGGTTAAAATGGCGTGGATCCCACCGCAAAGTGATATTTAAAGCATAATATCACTTTGTGATAAATCATTTCAACCAACAAGAGAAAGGATAATGTTCACCCTCTTTTAAAGAGAGTGAACAAAGTTGCATTCTCTGAATTGGTGGCTACCGATCGAGTGTCCCAAATTAATCAACTACTAGTAATTTTTCCTTTTTCTACCATAAGGACTAATCTACCATCAATGTGTGACGGGGAAAATCTCTGAAGTACCGGGTGACGATGTTCACGTCTGAATCGGTGGCAGCCTCCGAAAACCCCCGGACATTAATAATTGTCAATATAAACTAGTCTCGGCTTTGTTTTCGTTTCGTTTTCTAGTGACGCCGTGTCTGACCTGATTTATTTATTTATTCTTGCGTCCCCTAATAATATATATACTCCATACTCCAATATTTAGCCTTTTGCTTGTCTACTAAGCATGTCGTACCGTGCATATCATACTTCTTAAAGCCCGACTGGGCCAGTGGGAAAATTATTCAGTGCCCCTGTGACACCGTGCCCCAGAACCTTTTTTTTTACCGCACATTTTACCTGCCCTAAATTATTTCAAAAATGCTGCTCGCACAACACCAAAACATTGTGGGTTCCACATATATGCAAGAGATTGTGTTCGAATTATTGTGTGTGTATCATTGTTGAAGTTATTTTCCCACCACATATTTGTCTAGTTTTCGCCACAATTACTTGGAACCTACGCAAATGTACGGTAGATAAGAGTTTAAGATACTACAACGAGGTGTTCCAAGAGCACTGAATAATTACTCGAGCTAGCGTAGTAGTATGCAATAATGTGTCGTGTTGTGCTCTTGACTTCATGGACGGATGCATAATTTGAAGATTAGGTGAGGGAAAGTTTAAAAAATTGATACATATGAAAGGCGATAAATAATTTTGTCAATTAAAATTGAAAATAGTTAGTTTAAAAAAATATTGTCCAATATGCATTGGATCAACCTATTCAATTACTACTATCTCATGAAATAGTTATATTTGGGGCATTATCTCATGAAATAGTTCGAAGTTATCCAGTCCCTCCGTTCATGGTAGGCAACTAATCAGTTTTCGATTATCGATTATGCTAGTTTTCGAATCTTCTCTCTCAAGTAACGGTGAAAGCATTCAAATACCCAGGAGAGAGAGAGAGAGCTTGGAGGAATGGAAATTAGATTTTATAGGACGATTGATATCTTCACTCTACTACAAAAGCAATTAAATCTTCTCCGTCGGTAATTTTTTATTTGTCCACAACCTTTGGCCTGATCTCAATCCCTTGAACAATGAGGCCACTCTTCCAATCACCGCGCTCTACCTCCATCACACTCATCTCCAGTTCCTTATCTTCCCCGCCACCACCCTTGTTGAAGTATTCACCCATCTCGATCTCCATCCACCCGTCTCCTCTCGCCTTCGGGTATTTCCTATCGCAGCTCTCTCCGTTGAGTACCGAGGTTGTACGCTGCCTCCGCCTGCTACCAATGCTGAAGCCGCGACGAAAGACAGGGTTCCTGGGTGCAATCTGAAATTGCAGCCTCTGCCCTCTTTCCGGGTCCAAGTAAACAGATTGAGTTTCACTTTCACTTCCACTAACTCCAACTGCCACCTCTGCAGGTTGGTATTCAAATCCGTAGGCTCCTGCAGTTGATTTGAATACAAAGAAAGCTGCATAGGTTGTGTTTGGGGACAGCATGCTTGTGTTTATTTTGCCACGAATTTCAAGCCAGCACACGTTAATAAGCTCAGCTACCTCCGAGAACCTGTATTTTGTGAATTTATGATGATTTGTCAACAATCATGAAGATTTTCAAAAAGTTGGAAGGTTTTCCGAGAGATGAAAAAAGAAGAAAGATTAGAAAAACGAACCTGGACTCGGGTATGGATATCCATCTCCAATAGCTGGGTGTGTCGCCCCATACAATTTTGAGGTTCCGTGCAGCTAACATGTAACATATCCTTCCACTTGATTTCTCCAACGAAAAGCTCTGTTTATGCCCATGAAAAGCAAGTTAGAGACGTTTACCACAACGTGATAAGCCATCTGGGGGCGAAACAAATAGAAGCACAAATGCAATGCAGTAGTTGAACTACCTCCAAACCAAAGCTAAAACTACCAGCAGGCCACAGCATTACAAGCAGTGCAGAAATGTTTCGGGTGTTCAATAGTTTGGTCATGACAAATAATAAGCAATATTCCGATGTTCTATTTTCTCAAAAGATCATCATTGCATAAACATTTGCTCCTGTATTTGAAAGTACAATCTTCAAACTTCCAAAGTTTCTATTCACAAGCCTGAGTGCCTGACAACAACATCAACAGGAAAACAAGTATATGCAGTAGAAGCTTCGTAGCCGTATGACAAGTCTACTCAACTTTTCAACTTCACGACATCAATGAACTGTTGACATTTTAAGTAGATGGTTATTGAAAAACCGTCATCAACCACACAAAGTACACACAGCAATAATACGGAAGATTCATGTATATAACTTCTTTATAAGGTTTAGGGAACTTGTCCTGGCTCGTGGAACAAATAACAACAATATAAAGGATAGAGGGGGGGAAAAAATGTGGCAAGGACATTAGGCAAAGCTAGTTACTTTCCTTCTTTGTTCTTTCGATTTGCTTTCCTGTTTCTAAGAATCAAAGAAACTCGAGATACATAGCCAAAATATTGTTACAGTGCCCTTTGTGCTACGTCCAGGTCTGGGGCAGAGAAACAAATGTGGAAAAACTGGAGTCAACCCAGTGTTCAATGGTAACAAAACAAATGAACAGATCCCCTTAGAAAAAAACACCTGATCATTGTCCTCAGATTTTCCAGGTCAAACAAAGCAAGAATTTTTGCCGTCATTTGATAACCTTTTCCAATATTTTTTCGTTTCCTTTCTTCTTTCTATGCTTTTAAGGGGAGGAAAGGAAAGGGAAAAGAGAAACGAAGTTAGAGATCTATATTTCTTACTTGTTTATTTTTCCCCCCTTCTCCTCCTCCTCTCAAACACAGCATTGAGAGGCTTAGGAACCAAAACAACATAAACTCCATTTTGCCAAAAGGAACTTAGTTGTGGGACATAAGGGACATTAAGTTGTTACCTAAAGGCCGTTCAAAAAAAAAAGTTGTTACCTAAAGGTCCTAGTTATTTGACCGTATAATTCACCTAAGCAGACTACGCGTTCAAAGTGATAAAACACTGAGGCCCCGTTTGATAACGGGTTTGAGGGTTGGGATTGGAGTAATAATCCCATGGGACTATTAATACTCCGTTTGGTAACAAAAAAAGGTCCGGACTATTAATAGAGGGGGTATTAGGGGGTATTGCTAATACCCCGTGGGACTTGGTATTGAGGGGTATTAATAATCCAATCCCAACTCCTTCGCATTACCAATCCCTTCTCTTTACCAATTTCTTCTAACAATCCAATCCCATCATCTAATCCCATCTCAAACAAACATGATATTAATAATCTCATCATCTAATCCCATCCCAAACAAACATACTCATTATCAATCTATTCTCATTACCAATCCCATCTCCTTACGAATCCCAATCTTAATCCCATCTCCTTACGAATCCCATCCATCTATCTCTGTTATCAAACGAGGCCTGAGTGTTTGATAATATTAATGATTTGAATTAAACATGACTCGCATATATAACCAGCGAGATATACAACGCCGTGTGGTACTATTAATCCAATCATTATTGGTTTGGTGAGTTTATATAGCAGGCCCAAGTTTACATATAGGAAAAACGAAAAGCAAGTGACCAAAATAAAAAACATGGAACACACCCAGGCCTAGTAGTAAGGGCGAATGATTGAATTTGGGAGAAATCTCATTGGTCAGGGGTTCGATTCCCCATCGGGTGAGTAGTTCCCCTGAGGTTTGGGTTGCGCAGTCGGCTCCATTTGTAGCTCGGCTGTAGAGCTGTTTCTCGGTTATAAAAAAAAAAATGAAACTAAAGATAAGCAAGTGAAAAATGACGGGGCAATTAGTACTAAAAATTGGAGAATCCCCTGGTACTGTACATACGAAACTGGTATAAAAAAAACGTGTACCTATTTCGGATTTACCGTGCACCCGTATTCGTACTTTCATAAAAAAAAAAAAAGGGGGCTCCAGGGATCCTATAATGCGACATCCGACCGTCCATGCAATCAATAGTTTGCTTTGCTGAAGCATTCTAACTGGTCAAACATATCTTAATCATTGATTGCCGGGATAAACGACTTGGATGCCACACTACAAGGTATTGCCGGGATAAACGACTCGGATGACACACTACAAGGTATGCCGCAGGTCTGCACCATAGGAATCCCATTTCCAAAAAAAAAAAAATACATAAATGATTACATAAAAAATGCCTAACTAGCCTACTAACTAATGTGCAATAAAATGTGTATCATGCAGGTGCCAAAAATATACATGCTATTCTTCAAAACTAGGCATTATCACATATACAGATATACTTCCAATTTACAACATTGTGTAACCAAAAAAAAAATTGCCAAAAATTGCGTAATATAAACCAAAAAATGTATAATATTTCATTAGAGAGCTTTTGCTCAATTGGGCGGTAGAATTGGTGCTATGGATTATTCAAGGAGCACGTAAATTGGTCCGGAAATGCGAGATATAAAAAAAAAAGCATAAAATTTGTATGGTACGCCTTTGTCCTTTAGTTTTGGTAGTTAATACATTTCACTTGTAACAGTGAACGGAATTGACAAACCTAAGCGAAATTTACCGTAGTGCCCTGGTCGATCAGAAGGGGATGGTCAGAGAGCCAGAGATAGAGCTGTTTCTTGGAGGCAAACGAAGAAGAAGAAGGAGTGAGGTTCGGAAAATCAACGGCTCGGGTGATGATGTCCTTGTAATGGGACGGCAGGAACCTCTCCCAGACCGCATCCGATTCCGCAGCTGACTTGAACGTGGAACCCACCACCGCCAGCCTGCACGCGTCCTGGGGACTCGTTAGAGACACCACGTCCGCTATGCACCCCTCCGGCAACACATCCACCCCCGCCATTCTCTTTCTCTCTCTCTCTGTATGTATGTATGTGTTTGTGTGTGTATATATTGGAAAGAGAATCTGCGTTTCGCTTACGGCTCTCTGTGTCTTATCTTGGAATGGGATTCCGGTATCGCATATGGGTGAAAAGAGGACGTATTTGTAGGAAGGGAATGGCAACGGGTCGTGAAAGCTTCGCCATTGAGGTTTAGGCTCTGTTTGGAACTTGAAGAAAAGAAAGGAAAGGAAAAGAAAATAAAGTGGGAGAAAAATGAGAGGAAAATGAGAGAGAAAATGTACTGTTTATTACCCTTAAAATCTTTATTTTCTTTACACTTTCTCTTCCAACCAAACAATGGAAAGGAAAATTTTTTTATTTTCCTTTCCTTTCCTTTCCATGGGTTCCAAACAGGGCAGATAAATACAGCATCCAGAGGAGAGAGAGAGAGAGAGAGAGATAAAGACTAAAGAGGAGAGAGAGGGACAGAAGGTGTGGAAAGGAGAAATTTTTCAGTGCCGGTGCCTACCCTACCCGGGGAGAAATTTTTCAGTGCCGAGTGAGTATTGCCTAAGTAGCATCTGTTCGGTGCATCCGAGCCGTCCGATTCATTTTCAGACGGCTCGGATTAAAATTTTCTCTTTCCTCCCATTCAAACACTTTCTCTCTTCTTTCCCCTCTCCAAATCTGAGCCGTTCTAACATAAAATGAATGGCTTAGATGCGCGAATGAATGCCACGTGGTACCCGCTCGGCAGTGAAAAATTTTCCTACCCGACACTGAAAAACGTCTCCATCTATCTACATAAATAAACATGTGAAGGGCCTTTATTTATTTATTTATTTATATATTTATTCAATGAATGGACTGGCCACCAAATGGCTCACGTGGTTCTTTTTTAATGGGTTTCTCTACGAGTGATTATTTAATGTCGTGGAGCACCGATACATGGTGCTTCTCTCCACCCTCTAACATTTACGTGGAGTTCATTCATCCCTCTGCAAGTCTCACAAAAATGTGTGATGGTAGATGCTGTTGGAGCGTTAGTGGCTCTTCATGTTCTTTTAGGTGGTCAGAGCTTTTTTATATTTTTGTATATTACATGTAATAATTTTGGCTAAGATCTGATTTGAACACTTAACTCCTATGCTATGAGTAACCATCAATTCACGCTTCAATAATTGATAAGTTACCTTACAACATAGTACATACTTTGAATGATAAAAAATATAAAGAGAGAGAAAAAAAAAAAAAAAAGTACTCCATCTAATGGTATCGTTGTCGTGCTCTAACTTATTTCTGAATAGCAATCAACTCTATAATTAAAATCAAGAACATACGTCCAAAAAGATTTATGTGAATCTATTCTCTTTCCCATAAACCGGTTTAATTTTGCTCTACTCAAAATGTTAAAAAAAAATTTGCAGAGAACCATTGTAACATATTATGTTTTTTTGTTTTTTTATCGTATTTTTTTACGACAATGTATAAAATTGTGTGTATATATAATGGGTTGATAGAGCTAGTAGAGCTAAGTTATTCTTGAACACCCTAATAAAAATTATTGGCACCGCCACTACATTGTAACGTCACGTGACGGTGTCCCAAATCACATGGTAGTCCTCCTAGAGTAATTTTTTTTGTCCTTTTCTACCACAAAGACTACTTCACCACCAAATGTGTCAGAGAGAAAATCTCTGTAGTACCGTGTGACGATGTTCACATCTAAATTGAAGTTGAGTTTTGTTCACCCTCCACTTAAGAGTGTAAAGATTACCCTATTTTCTATTGGTTAAAATGGCGTGGATCCCATCGTTGTGATAAACCATTTCAACTAATAAGAGAGAGGATAATGTTCACCCTCTTTTAAAGAGAGTGAACAAAATTGCATTCTCTGAATTGGTGGCTGCCGATCGAGTGTCCCAAATTAATCAACTACTAGTAGTTTTTCCTTTTTCTACAACAAGGACTAATCCACCATCAATGTGTGACGGGAAAGTCTCTGAAGTACCGCGTGACGATGTTCACGTCTGAATCGGTGGCGGTCACCGTAAAAAACCCCCGGACATTAATAATAATCTCTATTATAAAACAGAAGGGTGTGGGCACAAGTTGTTGGAACGGCTTAGATTCATTTGATCCAAAGGTTGTAGTGCATCCTCCTACTTCCCGGTTAAGTGCCCATGATTTCCACCTAAATCACACAACTGCCATCTCCTTTTAACCGGAATGCGTAGTGCCGTAGGCACGGGCTAGCACTAGTTATCAATATAACTAGTCTCGGCTTTGTTTTCGTTTCGTTTTCTAGTGACGCCGTGTCTGACCTGATTTATTTATTTATTCTTGCATCCCCTAAGGAGTACTCCATACTCCAATAATTAGCCTCTTGCTTGTCTACTAAGCATGTCGTACCGTGCATATCATAATTCTTAAAGCCCGACTGGGCCAGTGGGAAAATTATTCTGTGCCCCTGTGATACAGTGCCCCAGAACCTTTTTTTAACTCACATTTTACCTGTCCTAAATTATTTCAAAAATGTTACTCGCACAACACCAAACACTGCGGGTCCCACACGTATGCGAGATGCTGTGTTTAAATTGTTGTGTGTGTAGCATTGTTGAAATTATTTTCCCCTCACATATTTGTGTGGTTTTTGCCACAATTATTTGGAACTCACGCAATAAATGTGTGGTAGATAAGAGTTTAAGATACCACTACGAGGTGTCTCAAGAGCACTGAATAATTACTCGGGCTAGCGAAGTACTAGTATGCTATAATATGTCGTGCTGTGCTCGTGACTTCATGGACGGATGCATAATTTGAAGATTAGGTGAGCGATAGTTTAAAAAATTGATACAAATGATGGCGATGAATAATTGTCAATTAAAATTGGAAATAGTTAGTTTAAAAAAATATTGTCCAATATACATTGGATCAATCTATTCAATTACTACGAAGACATATATGGTCATGTTTGGCGCACTATCTCATAAAATTGTCCGAGGTTATTCAGTCCCTCGATTCATGGTAGGCAACTAATCGATTTTCGATTATGCTAGTTTTCGATTCTCATCTCTCTCTCAAGTAACGGTGAAAGCATTCAAATGAGAGAGAGAGAGAGAGAGAGAGAGAGAGAGAGAGAGAGAGAGAGAGAGATTGATTGGAGGAATGGAAATTAGATTTTATAGGAAGATAGATATCTTCACTCTACTACAAAAGCAAATCTTCTCCGTCGGTAATTTTCTATTTGTCCACAGCCTTTGGCCTGATCTCAATCCCTTGAACAATGAGGCCACTCTTCCAATCACCGCGCTCTACCTCCATCACACTCATCTCCAGTTCCTTATCGTCCCCATCACCACCCTTGTTGAAGTATTCACCCATCTGGATCTCCATCCACCCGTCTCCTCTTGCCTTTGGATATTTCCTATCGCAGCTCTCTCCGTTGAGCACCGAGGTTGTACGCTGCCTCCGCCTGTTACCAATGCTGAAGCTGCGACGAAAGGCAGGGTTCCTGGGTACAATCTGAAATTGCAGCCTCTGCCCTCCTTCCGGGTCCAAGTAAACAGATTGAGTTTCACTTTCACTTCCACTAACTCCAACCGCCACCTCTGCAGGTTGGTATTCAAATCCGTAGGCTCCTGCAGTTGATTTGAATACAAAGAAAGCTGCATAGGTTGTGTTTGGGGACAGCATGCTTGTGTTTATCTTGCCACGAATTTCAAGCCAGCACACGTTAATAAGCTCGGCTACCTCCGAGAACCTGTATTTTGTGAATTTATGACGATTTGTCAACAATCATGAAGATTTTCAAAAAGTTTGAAGGGTTTTTCAAGAAATGAAAAAAAGAAGTAGAAAGAG